CGTTGTGCAGCGCAAGAGAAAAAGAAGCCAATCACAAAAGATCACGACTTGTTACAAGTACATTGAGTGGTGCACCAACGATGGAAGCGCACATGAGCGCAGCAATAACATTTGATGAGTGGTGACAAAGCTCATGTCCTCTTTGGAAAGTCCTCGAGGCAGGCTCACGCTAGCAAGGACTCTGTCACACTTTGCGTTCCCGTTCCGCATCCAGGTCGCTGTGATACTCCATAGTGAATGACCAATTCTTTCTCCAGTCAGCCTTCTTCCTCTCCCAAAGGTCGTTGCCGTGCTTGAAGTACAGGTAGCCAAATGCTGCACCTCCAAGATGAGCTGAGAGGGATGCGTTTGAGAGGTCAGCAAGCCAGAGAATACAGGGGACTAGCGTGCACCTCACCCCAGTGATCAAACATCCTCCAGCCGCGCAATACACCGACGACGTCCAGCGCGACCAAGCCAAGGACACCTTGCGCGATCGGGAAGGATATCATCGGAAGGAAGATGAGTCTGGTGGTGAGGGACAGAGTGAAGCAGAGTCAGCATTGAGCAGCGCTGAACGCCGTCGTTCCTGGCTCTCCAACTCACCCCACTTGAGCATCCGGAAAGGCCAGAGCGTTCATGACTAGCAGACTGTAGGCAAATCCAGAGCTTCCTAGACTAGCTGTCAGACCATATTTGGATCTAGCTACGGCCTCGCCAGCTCTCGCAGCGAGAAAGCGCCATCTTGCAGCGTTGACGAGGTGGGACAAGAGGCCTGAGCTGATCCCTGCTAAAGCGCAAAAGGCCAGCAAGTGTGGCGCCAAGGACGCTTCGGAGGTGTGCTTCAGAATCCCTTCGTCGGAGGTCAGGAATGGCTTGGACGAGAAAATCGTCGCTGAGAAAGACCAGAGCGCAAGGTTATTGAAGAGGAAATGCATGGCTGATGTGGGTAAATTGGAACAGTAGTCAGTCCTTGCGCTCCGCATTGAGCTTTGTGCGCCGATGTACCCACGGGCGCTGTGTGCGAAGGAGCTCGTGAGTATCGTGTGATGTTGACCTGAAGAGGGGCTATGAATGAAAGTTCGGCTCCACAGGCGGCCGAGACGGCTTAGAGGGCGCAGCGAGTAGGCAGCAGAAGCAGCAAAGATGGCGGTGTTGACGGCTATCACAGGAACCATAGCTTGTTGTCCAGGAGACAAATTTAGATAGCTGTGCGACGACAACATTGCGATTTGCGTCAGCACTGCACAGAAAAGGCGCCTACAAGCGATCCACACTGAACTCACTGGGCCACGATGCTGAGCCATGCCTGTGACAAGGACTGCTTGAGACTTTGAGGGAACAAGAGCTGATCGCACAACTTCGACAAGGACCGCGCTGAGCTTTGAGCCTTGTTCACGATTTCCTCCTGTCTTACGACCCTCAGTCTACTCTCCTCGGCAGTCAAAGCTTGCGTCTCGCCCACCGGCCAAAGACTGGCAAGATTAGGCCAGAACCTGCCCCGTCCTCGATCTTGCTCCTTTAGCCCCTCGGTATCTTTCACGCTGTACCAGGCAGCCGTAGAGTAGCATGAATATCCTAAGGCCATTGTAATGAGGGTAGCCCACACGATGGACGGCTTTTTGGCTCTATCTAATCTGTCTTGCAGTTCAGCGATTGAATCCCGATCCAAGCCCGCACGAACGGCCTGTTGAAGCACATCCGAGTCCTCATCGTCTCGTCCTCGTCGAGGAGAGTAAATGCGACCACTCGGGTTCAGCAAGTCCTCGGACCGCAACGGTTCGGCCTCATCATGCCTTTCCAGTCCTGAGTTGAAGCGCCGTGGACGAGGTTGGGCCAGAAGTGTGGAAGAGTTGAACTTTCGAGCGAAGGGCAACGATGCCCTTCGTGCCAAGAGTTGCTGGGCGGAAATGCCGCTGCTGCATTGCGCTGTAATGTGCGATCTCAATGGGTGTATGCTGAGCGCAATGGGTTGCGAGCATGGACATGCGAGCACGATCAACAACCCGCGTGCTGGAAGAGGACGATGCGATCCAGTGAGATGTGCTCACCTGCGTAATGCCATGATGCGACGCGAGGTCCAGCTAAGCCCTGGCACAATGATCCCGTGCGAGATCTTGTCTGCGATGAGCCAGATCTATGCGGCTTGCCTGTTCAGCTTGAGCAGAGTGTCAAGGTGGTGGCGATAGTCGGCGGGGTGGTGGTTGTGCGAGATGCTGAGGTGAGATGGCTGCGCTCAATCACGATGCACTGTCAAGGGAATGCCGCGGTTTCCACGGAAGAAAGCGCGCAGCCAAGCATTCACGATTGTGCTGCTGAGTGCGGCGGGACGTGGAGGTGCTGGGAGAGCATGCAAGGGTGCAAGCGTCGCGGCATGCAGCAGCGAGAGGTTGGAGGTACCCAGACCGCATGCTGCTGAGTCTTGACTTGCCACCTTTGCGCCTCCCTCGACCACCTCATTCGCTATTCGCGACATCCAGACTCGTCCGGTGTTTCAGCAGTCAGCTCTCCGGTCGCTATCACGCAACTGATGGCAGCGATCCGAGCGCCAGATGTGACTCACAATGCCACCACCTCGCCCCCAGCAGACTCTCAATGAGGCACTCCGTCGCAGACTACCTGACCAGCGCGCACCATTGGACCCAACCTCAGGCACGCTCACAGCGGCTGACCTTACATACGGATGGCATTCGAGAGCATCGACGAGTGCTAGAAGCTCGGCAGATCGCCGTCGAGTTCCTGACGCAGAAGGGCTCATCGGGCCACGCACAGCGGCTGATGGCTCCGCCTCTTCCTCTTCTGTGTCCTCGATTGCTTCGGAGGAGTCCGAGACCACGGAGGCGAGTGGCTCTCGAGCGCATGTGAGCGATAATAGCAGCAGAGAAGGTGCGTAAAGAATCCATGAACGCTGGCTGGACCGGCTGGCTCCCTGACTTGGTGTATGCGGCAGCCCTTGCGACAACTGACGCCCACGTCATGCGAGACAGGTCACGACCAGAGAGGCAGGAGCGCAAGTGA